ACATGCCTCACCTGCTTCTTCGTGTCACAAAAAATCAACATGCGATCCACGCGGCCCTCTTGCTCCAACAGGTCGTAGTGGCGTTCCACAAACATCTCAAATGCCTTTGTTGTTCCTTGTTGCACCCCTAGCCGAAGATCGGTTCGCATGGTTGGCATACGAAAGGTCTGGTACGAAGCGTCCTCCGTGCAATCCAGCTGTTGGAGCAGAGCCCGCTCATCTTTGGGGCAAAGCGTGCCAGTCAGGCCCACACACTTGACAGATGGGTCTTGGCGAAGATGGTCCAGCCGGCCTGGGCAGCGAACAAGGCTGTCTCGATAGCTAGTGTCCACGAGCATTGTGTGAACCTCGTCCATCACCAGCATGGCCAGACGCTTCTGCTGCACGAGAGTTTGCACCCACCTCATCCCATAGCCAACCAAAAAGTCGACCGTCATGACAATCACTTGAACGTTGACTTGCATGTCGCGGCCATCATTCTTAGCCCACTGCGATACAATGTCTGCCTGCTCGAAGCGGCGGCACAAGTCTCTGGCAAGCTCACGAAGCGGGACTACCCACACCACGACCTTGCGTGGCTGGAGGTGAGCGAGTGTACACAGCGTCTTGCCCATGCCCGTCGGGGCCACGGCCAGCAGCCAGCCATCCTGGGCTTCGTGCCGAGTCACAGCCTGTGCCAATCGATACTGATCCCAGTCGCGAAATGTTGTCTTCCACGCTTGCCGCACACATTGAGCTAGCCAAATCTGATCCTCATACTCTTGTTGTTGCGTTTGGTCATTGTGCTGGCTTGGCTCTTGCTGCAAGGCCGTCGACGCAGCCTCTTTCACGGCTCGCGGCACGGCAACTGGCATGGACGATTCGGCTGCCTCGGCTTCGTCTAAATCCAACCCGGCAATGATATCGTCAATGTCATCCTCAGCATCAAGGCAGGCTTCAACCTCGAGATCTGTTTGCGTGCCCACGGTCGCTTGCACCTGTGTGCTGGCGTTCCTGACCCGAGACGACTGGATGACCACCTGTTTATGAACCACTTGTTGCACGCAGGTCTGTCCATCTACGGCCTCAGCTTGGATCTGATTCTCTACATCTACCAGCTTCATGAGCTTGTGCCATTCTTCAGACACAAACTGATGGCCGTACTGTGCTTCACTGGACAC